TCTTGGACCTTGAGCACTCGATTTCCATTGCTGGCGACGAGAATGGGTCTAGCTGTCCAGGTCCGCTATCGCAGATCGTCGTGCACCGTCGTAACATCGAGGCCGGCTAGATCAGGAATCACAGCCGTACGAAGTTAAAGTTCCGACTCCGGCCATGCCACTGCAAGGTGTCCACTGCATAACCTTGAACTCTTTAATAGTCCATCTCTGTCCAACCTTATGCATAAATTTAATCGACGGGGAGCTCTTGTTGTGCGCTGCTTCGAGGCGCACCAGGTAACGTGGAGCTGAGGCAGCAGTTGGGGTTTGTTATCCGATTTGCCCACAGTTGCACTGCAGACCGGTTACTGGAACCTTTTGGATGTCACCGTTCGGCCCATCTTATTTTACACCGAGCCAATATTATCGTGCGTTAACCACATTGATCTGGAGTGTTTGATGGTAAGTACGGTGAAAATGGTCGGAAGTTTCGAAAATTTCCTAGAGCCTCAGAATTACAGCCGGGAAGGCTACAGGCGATTTTCAAGACCAATATTAATTTGTCTTAAACATCTAAGCTTGTCATTTATAATCGTGGTCTATACTGCATGACGTCGCCGAGGCATCTGACTAGCCTCTGTCTGCCGACCCCGTTTGTAGTTACTTGTTTTCATTGTTTCGGTTGTACCCGCTCGTCTCCTGATTGGCTGTATAGCGGGTTTAGAGAGTTCCGTGTATGTTCAGTGCAGGATTTTTCACCTGTGAAATGTCTGTTCAACCTGATGCCTCGTGGAGTAGGCTCACATCCTGGTCGTCGCTCATTGACGTTGTCATTTTCCTCACGATGGCATCCTGTCCTCGTCCTTTTTGAAGGTGACAAGCAGCAGATATCCATATACTCGTTCTAGTTTTTTTTCAGTCTAGGTGACGTGGCCTCGTCGGTAACGTGGCTCGGAATTCTAGAATTCTAAATTTCTAAATGAACTGCTTTCAGACTGGCTTAATCAGACCATTACTGCAGTCATTTTTTACGTACAAGTAAGTACAATTTGTTACCGTTCTCCCTGTAGAGCGTCGTCTGTGAAGTCCAGAGAGTTACGCCTCATTTCTTGGTCGGGGATTATAAAGTTTGGACTTGAGGAAAATAAAGTGGACGATAGTGACATGACCACTCGTTTACGCCGCATCCTTCAATGATTGCTTTTGAATGTCTACTTGACGCCGACGTGTAGAAGGTTGCAGATGTTATAATTCATCGGAAATGTTGCCTCCTGAGCACCTTTATCTTTGCACATGCTGACTAATTCCGGCTCGGAGGGCAGAATCGCGTGCTTAGAATACCATCTTCGAACGCCTTGCTCTTTGCCCCTACCCTTTCCTAGGTCTTATTATTCCGCGCTATTTCTTCGCGCTTTGCGACATTTCCTTGTTCGATAATAGTCTGCAACACCGCAGGGAGATTTCTGCCACATCCTACTCTGCTTTTTAGCTGCGGCTCATACTACTAATTTGGAAGGTCGAAATCCGTTTTCTCAGGCAGATTAACTGGTGCATGTCACGGCTTTACAATGCCTACAAGACCAGGGATGACTTTATCGCTGTTTGGGGACAACCAGTGTAATGTAGGACATCCTGAAGGGTGTGTCGTTGGATCGAACTAAGAATTCGTATCACGACGCTTTCTCAGCTACATGCTCAAAACTCCCTGTTTATTTCGTCGCCTGGAGGATGTCGTACTTTTGCATAACCCAACTTACCTTGCTCCAGCTAGCTTTTTTGAACATCTGGTCCATGTTCACCACGCAAACCTAATTGAAACACTCATTGATACCTACTGCGATTTTATGACTGAGACTGTTATACGCCTTCACGACGAGGAAGTGCATTGACAAAATTCAGGTGTCCACTACTTACCATTTGTCTTTGTTAGTTGCCAATCGCCCAAATCCAAGCTGAGGACACCTGAGGCTCCAGTGGACTCGCGCTCTTCGTTGAGGACAGAAGTCCGATCCTGTAGTGGATACTAAACCGGAAGGGGTCATTCCAACCTCGCCCTTGTCCTGCATCTCCCGACAACTCGAACAGGAAGAATGATGAAGTTGGAATGAACATGATTCTGATTGCAATCGGGACAGGCTTTTGGATGCAATTATCAGTGTAAATCTTTTTTTCTATCTGTATCGGGTAGGTAACAATACATACAGTATGTAGCTCAGATGCCCGCCAAGTTACAAAAAAAGCGATTTTGACTGAAAGCAGGCTCACGGGGGTATTAAAAGTAGTGTTAGGTCCCCCGGTGGCGATATTTTTTCGTAATAAATTGAGTAATTTGGAAACGCGGCGATTCGGGCTTATTGAGTAGGAGCATGCAATACGTGTACACGAAAAGAAAAGACCGTTGTGGCCGTCCTCGGATTGCATTTCTCCCTAGAAATGATGTAGTATGCAGTGACTGCTAGTCGATCATTTGATGGCGAGCAAAGCCCTTTAACATGATATGCAGAATTTTTATTCTAGATGCTTCATTTGTGCAGTGAGTGCGATTACTCAAGTAGGGATAATTACTTTTTGTCCTGTTTGGGAGGTTGCTGTTACAAAGCTGGCCACTGACTAAGAAACTGGGATATATGTAGCAAGCGCAGCTACGAAGGAGCCATTTTCTGTTTATAGATTTTCCGTAACGTTAGTTTTACTACCGTGGCTGCCAAGTTTTATGGCGTCCCTTGAGTTCCGTGGAGCACTGAGGTGTTCAGCGTTCTTAGTCGATAACCAGGGGACGTTTTTACGGTTATCGAGATTATTAAAATGCGACAGTTCTTAGAGGGTTTTGCCGATGTGTGCGGTCGGTAGTTGTTTTATTCTCAACCATCAGTTCGGGTGTTTATAGGCTGACCTAGAGTGAAACTCCTCACCCTAGACAGGTCTCCACAACAAAGGCTGGCGATGACTATGCCCAGTAAAAAAAGGCACTATATAGCGGGCTTTTTCTTTCGAACACGAATGCCTGCACCCTTATTTTTTTCCAGAGTGGAAATTTTTGAAAAATCTTTAGTATGTTTAAGTTGGAGGGGTTAACATCACATTCTTACGTTCCTAGAATATTATTATAAATGCCCTACAGTAGTCCTAGAGCGCCATACTGTTCTGTTTCTAAATTGCATATAAACTTGGCGTGAGGCGCCCGAAATGTCACGTCATGGGCATGGAAGTTAAACAAGCAGAGAGTGTGTCGAGTCTCACCAAGGGAGTTCTGTTATCTCTTTGGCAGTGATCCAGGTGCCCGTACACGTGACGTTGCTCTGCGCAAATCGTTAAACTAGGAAAGGAAAATTGCTACTTCTAAGGTACTCCTTGTGGACCATATGGGTCGCGGTCATTATGTCTCACTAGCCTCAATGCCCACACACCACATCTTTCCCTACAATGTTCTTCGTTCTTTTACAGAGTTGCTAGGCGAACTCGTTCTTCATATGCCCTCGTGATTTTGATGAAAAAATAAGAAACATCGACTGTCCTTTTAGGGTTTTTTTTCTCCTCAGGTCATCCATTCCAACCACTTTCACAGTTGCTTCCCCTTTTCAGCATATTGTTGCACTTGATTCAATAAAGGCTTAGTAGCGCCCAGGAATTAACCCCATATGACCATCCTTTTCATAAAAATGCGGTCTGCCTCGATAGGTAGTCTGACGCCATTTCGATTATTAAATGCTTGATCTAATCGACTGCCTTTATTTTGACTCAGCTGCGAAGAACTCGATGACCCCGATGGGATTCGAACTCACGACAGCTAGGGGAGGGCTTGAGTGCATCCAACGCCCTTGCTACCTGCGCTACGAGGCCGCACCGACAGCTGTGGATTTAGTCTCATTTGGGTCAAGTTATCCGTACAGCCTTCTGCAACGCCTGGAATCCACCAAATCCGATATAGTAAACTGTGTACCCAAGCAGGATTTCCTAAGTAATCCATCTAGAATCCAGTAGATGAATGCCAGGCTCATGTAATCAATAAGTGTTGTGTTCGAATCCTGCCGAGGTCGCCGAGTTTTCCACAGTCGGGTCACAATGAATTCGAAATCTGCCAAAACACATTAAATTGACCATTATAAACCAATTAGAAGAAAACAGCATTGTTGCCGGAATTAATAGTGCTAGTTTGGAAGGTTCTTCATTTCTCCTCTGTGAGCTCTATCAATGAATTTGGATGCATTCGGGTGCGATTCTTATCCTTTCTTATTATTGACGGCCTAGTTGGCCTTCCGTTACTTACGTGGGGGCTACTTTCCTGTACAAAATATTCCAAGGTGTACTGTTCTGTTCACTGTGAGTATGTTATGTAGTTCTTACCATCCATTGTTTTTTCATGTTGCGTACTCGTAAGTACACTTAATTTCACTTGCAGCTTGAGTGCACGGTACTACTATTGCGCCCCTCCCATAGGATCCGGACTCTTGCATGAGTGGACCACCGTCTCGCGAAAAGTAGATCTAAAGGTGCATTACTGTCTGGAGTGGTGCCAACGGGCAGCCTATTTGGTTACAGTGGTGTCCGCTACGGAGGCGTTAATTACGCCATTTTCTTACTTTTGCACTCCCAAAACCTCCTTGACTGGAGACGGTGCTTTTCAACTGCTACTAACTGCATTTCCCTCGAATCACTGGCCTTCTAACTTAACTCATCATTGGGAGTCTGCGTACTTTGTTGTCTCTTCGGCATTCTCGGTTTTTTGCCTAAAACTTTTTCCTGCCTGAATAAAGCTAGCTGTGGTCTTCTTTGCTCGGTCTTCGACAAAATACCCATTAAATATGACGAGCTTGTGACCACGCCGCGGGCTGGGAGAGCGTTTGGACTCTGTTCAGAGTGCAATTCGACCCTCTATAGCTATATTACGATCAGCTGGGGCACGGCGATCTTTCATTTGGGAAGACCCCCGAGGTTAGTAGAAGATGCGTCCGCTGGAACTAGGGGTTTCCCATACTGACGTTTCGGATTCTCAGTTCAACCCATCATCAGAGACAGTCGCAGGTATAGGTTTTCCGACCGTTCGGTATTCGGTCTGGCGCCCGACAGGGTTGTATCCTGACACCAATACTGTTTAACTACGCTATTGACTGGATCCTCGGGAGGGCCCTACGCGAGAGTGAAGGCGTTGAATTTGCACCTGGACATCGACTGACTGATCTCGACTATGCCGATTATATCGCATTACTTGCCTCAAGTTTTGGTGATCTGCAGTCTATGGTGTCACGGGTGAACGAGGTCGCTAAATCAGTCGGTTTGTCCATAAACGCTGGGAAGACCAAAGTGTTCTCAAGCTGCATCCCTGACCAGGAGAAGACACCCCTCGGGATCGATGGCTGTCAACTTGAAGAAGTAGACAGTTTTAAATACCTTGGGGCGAGGCTGCTGCCTAATGGACAGAGTAAGGATGACATTGTCTCCCGAATCGACGCTGCCCGCTGGATTTTTTCAAACCTTCGGAAATGCCTGTGGAACCGACGTGACCTCTCCATCGCCAGTAAGATTCGCGTGTACCATGCATCTATCCGGTCTGTCCTCTACGGTTGTGGATGCTGGACTTTGCGCGTGGAGGACGAGCGAAAACTGGAGGTATTTGACTACCACTGCTTGAGGACCATCCTTCGAGTGAAGTTCACCGACTTCGTCTCAAATGAGACGGTCCGCGCTCGCTGCGACATCTCAAGGATAACTCCGGCCATCCAAGAAAGACGACTGAGGTGGTTCTGGCGTGCTCTTCGTCGTCCACCTCAGGAGCTCAGTGTTACTGCCCTCGATCCGGCGCCGTTGCCCTATTGGAGGCGTCGAAGAGGGGGTCAGTTCAAAACCTGGCTCGACACTGTCCGTCAAGACATGGAGGTGGTTCTTGGACCTTCGGTATTCGGTCTCCGTCGTTGGCGAAGGGAATGGGTTGAGCTGTCTAGATCTGCTGCCGCGGATCGTCACGCGTGGAGAGGTACAATTCGGTACATCATCGAGGCCGGCTAGATCAGGCATGATCGCAGCTGTATCAAGTACAAGTAAGTGATGTAGGCATAACGAGTGCATAATTTTTAGGGCGTAGTTGTTGGCCCACCACATGTCTACTACAACCGGCATATTTCGTGTTCATCGCTGGGGATCGCATCCGAAGTACCGATGGCTTAGTCACAACTCGTCACCGCCGTTGATTCTTGCTTGACGATCGCTCTGCAATTCGCCTAGCTGTCGCTGGAGCCGCTGCTAGCCCGCACCCCCACCAACTGGCCAGCCTTTCTGCGCAGGCAAACAGCACAATACGGTAGGGCTCATTGTGCTAGTTAATTGAGTACGGACCGAAGAATCATGACTCGAGGAGCTCGTATCTCACGCGGTTATTACTTGCAAGAATTTCGGCCTCGTCAGATTTGAGGGTGTGGCCGCTTGCGCAGTCGCCTCCAGTCTCCCCATTCTGCGCCGGATTTTCCTGGGCAGAGCGGTTGGCCGCGCGGTGAGGGTGCTTGCGGTCAACAGTTCCAGTGACAGCGAGACGAAGTGCCGAGTGATTATCATTCAAGAATCGACAACGGTGATGAAATTGCGACAATAAACCATTCGGGTGCGAACTAACAAGCCATCGTCGCATCAAATACGACTCCCAGCGATGAACGGGGAGACTCAGTTATAGCAGGCATATGGTGGCGTAACAACTACATCCCCCAAATTAGGCACTGTGTCACCAGCTTTATCCGCGGCCATCCTCAATGCTGGGTTCAAGTGGAACTCTGAAAAGTCAGACCAATAGGTGTCTTGTCCCGGCGATCACGCCTTTTCCTGATTTGTTTCCGAAACTCGCCTATCCGTTTCTTTTTGTCCCAGTACTGGCAATGTGCTCATCGGAACATAGCTCATTTAGGCTTAGTCCGAAAGTTCACTCCAGATTGCGCATCAATAACCTCGGAAATAAGACATGGCAGTGTGGAAACGGGTTTGTGTATCGGAAAACACTAGGGACGCCGGGGACCCACTGATGAGCCGAGCTCCTCGCGGCTGCGTCATGCAGTGGCACCAGATCGGCGAGACGCGTGTCCGGCCCTTTTGTTAACATTTATGCTCAGTGTTGTAGACAGTTTGGTATTTATACGCTACTGGCTGTCTGTTGGCAGCGTGTGAGTATTGTGCAGTAACTTCGGATTAGCCGGTGGATTTCAACTTGAGCATTTATATGTAAACCTTCGTATTGAACTTAAAAAGTTTTATCGAGACAGCTTGATTGTACTGCCTAGATGCGGACCACAGTGACATGCATTCAAACACTGGGCCCGGCTTCGTGTCAATACCTAAGTCGTTACGGGGGGTCTTGCATGTACGGGCGAGTCATTTGCTGTTAAATCCGAAGGCTGTTGCACGGACGGTGCGATCTGCTAACTTCGAAACCCTCGGTGCTAGCAGCAGTTACATTTTACGCCCGTGGGGCCGAATGTACTGCGTTCAGGCGACGGCCGCGCTGGATGTCAAGTTGGCTGCGCACCCCTCCTGCTGCACTGTGCTGATCCCGTAATAGCTTCATACTTGATGCCGACGCCATCGGGAAGCTCAGATCAGCACTTTCCTAAACAGAGATTGGTGAGGTTAACAGACAACTTTTTATGGGCGGGGTCACACAATCGGCCGATGGAGAGCCTTTGCGGGAATGGGTGTCTGTCGTTGGCTTGTACATCGGGACCGATCCGTGAGCATCAAAAACGACAAGTCATCCGATTGTCCTGAGTAACGGTATAAGCAATTGTACAGCGGCAGCGATGGAGACGTCGTCCTTCACAACAACCTTTGAGAGATCTTCATTGTTTTCATCAGTGACATTGGGATCTTATCTGAGTATCGCTTAATTCTTCCCATAAGTGCTATCTGCAATCTTCACGTCACTAGTAACTGTATTATTCATTTCTCTGAGGATATGTGGGTATTTCCTGAAGCCTTTGACCCGGTGTTCAAGTAAATGGTGGACTACTGCACATATTGACAAAGTGCTCGAGCAGCGTTTGGGGACTGTCAGCTCAAGACGCCAGTCTCTGAATCTGGACGTACGTCCGTCCGTGCTGCAATCAGTCCAGCGACGGTAGGCCATCGGGCCTGGGATATTTCCTTCTGAATGGTCCTGGCCGGCGTCGATACATTGGAAAGAACTAATTGAAATCATGTTCGTCCTTGCAGAGGCTACGCTGACTATCTGTCCTGTAGAAAGTCCTGGGACAACTGCAGTGTATTTAACAAAAGACGGTGCCGTCTTCCCTTTTTCGCTGCAGCGTTATACTTGGTAATAGATGGTCCGCCGCTGGCACTTCAACAGACAATAGTCTGTCAACTATGCGGTTGTTTAGCAAACTAAAGCACAGGTACCAGCTAAAGACCCAGATAACGTGCCGCTGCCTGACGCAGCTGCGAGGGGTTCGGCTCATCAGTGGCTCCCCCAGCGTTCCCAGTGTGTTTTTTTAGCATATGGACGCCAGTTTCATTCTGCATTGTTTGATTTCCGAGGGACTTAATGCGCGAACTTGGCGTAGATCCTACACTGTCAGTATGGCAAATAATCACGTAGTTGTATACTAATGGCTGCCTGTTGTAAATATTATGCAGTTACTCCGCAGTGGCTGGTGGAATTAAGTTCAAATATTCATGTCGACTCCCGGAGCGAGCCTGAAAAGCTCTATTTCAAAGGGATTTACTCCAAGTTTACGCACAAATTTCGTCGAGAATTAAACAAGGCAGTCTATCAACTGATCTGAAAAGCGTTTGAGTAGATGCCCAAGAGAGCGATCGTTTTGCCAATCCTCTTTACATTTTGCATGACTTTCTTTAGCACTACAATACACGCAAATTCTTCTATAAAATTCAAAGATTATAAAGACTCTACCCTACGCCAAAATATCTTCGTCACAGACCTCGAGAAGATTTAAACGCCCCTTTAAAGAAACAGTCGACTCATGACTCCGTAGTCGCCGAATTGAGTAAATTCGGTTCGAGACTTAACTTCATGAAAACTCTAGGTGACAACACGGGGAGAAATGTTGACCTTGTTGATAAAAGGCTCGGTATAGTTGAGAAGTATGACGTTATGGTTCAGCTGCGCTCGATTGGTTCTGTCATTTCATTAATGTACTGTCATCGCTCCAACAAACTTGACAAAAAACGTTTCGCGTGTGAAGCCAAATTGCAAGACTCTCTGTTATTCTGTTGCAAAGCCCCGTCTCCACGTGCAGATGACGTACAAATGTGGGGTACTGAACACCTATTTCCTCAGGAGAGTACTTCAGATTCCTTCTTTCCTCCGATCGGATACATCCCTTGTGGAGGAATTTACAACTTCAGATGGTTAAGTCACCGACCCAGTTCGTTCGGATTTTGGTTCGCATCGGCGCGGACATCGTGGAGCATAACTGAAAATCGGACGACTGTCAAACTTAGATGTATATAGAACACTGTTCATAATACTTCGGCACTTAAGGCTGGAACGCCTTCTGGCAATAAATGCGAACGTCTCAGCCATCGACTTTAAAAACCTGCTCACTCATAAAGCTTTAATCCGGATTAATGGTATAGAAATGGGGAGGCTATTTCGTTAAACAGTGTCATTGCAGAATGTGGCGCGGGGGGAGGTGTGGTATAATACGTCACCTCGGAATTCTGTCCGCGACCGGTTGTCCTGTTTCGAATTACATGCAGTTCTTGGCTAATTAAATCTGCACCGTGAAAGCTGAAATAAATGTTGCCATTAGCAGAGGGCAGGGCTGAGTAGGCGAATTGTCGTCGCCTCTGCTACTTAGGCGTACTTATGCAAGCGGGCGGCCAGCTAACTTTATCCTTTCCGCGTACATCGGTTAAAATTGACCGAAAAGGGACGGCGGTGGCTTGGGTGCTTCTCATATCAGTCATCTCATTGGTCAGTTTCTATCCAATAGGCTACTAACTTTACAAAAGCTCATCCAGTGTGGGTAGGCGTACAGCGTCGTTTCGTCATCATGCAAGGGAATAGAATCCATCCCGCTGGTACAGAGCATTTGCCTGCTATGAACAGGATAGGAGATGCTTCACTTTCAGACTAGTATACCAATTGTCCTTACCCTGACTGCCTTAACGATTAGCGCATTTTCATTAACGGATCTGGAGGTAAACTCGACTGTGGCGTACTCTAGTGAGTTTCTACGAAATGTGACGTCAATAAGGGAGCAGATTATGGACCACCTATTTCAACACTATCAAAAGCATGAGCGACCCGGGGAAGCGGAGAAGGAGACCACCAAAGTTACAGTTTACATGACCATCACTGCCATCACCTCCGTGGACGTACGTATGATGGAGTATACTACGGATCTCCTCTTACGACAAGAATGGAAAGACCAAAGGCTTGCCTGGGCTGGGATCTCGAAGTTTAAAAACTATACAAATAATCTGGTTACACCAGAACTAAAACGAAAACTATGGCTTCCCGACTTATTCTTTCGTAATGGGAAGGAGGGACGTCTACACAAGATGACTTGTCCCAACTACCTTACTCGGATTGAGCCCTCAGGCATGATCCTCTATAGTCAAAAGCTAACAATGCGTTTCTCCTGTCAGATGGACCTTAAAACCTTTCCTATGGATAGCCAGGAATGTCACATCAACATTGGCAGCTATGGATACGAACTGAACGAACTGCACTTCGTGTGGCGCAACGACACGCCTGTCTATCTTGCTCCCGGGATGCAGATCTCAGAGTTCAACACTCCTGAGCAGGTGACCGTCGAAGACTGCAACACTGGACCGCTAGCCACGGCTGACAGGACCTCCTGTCTCTACGCCACCTTCATTCTGTCACGCCAGTTGGGCTCCTGGTTTTCTAGCATCTACATACCCAATTTTCTTATTGTGGCGGCCTCGTGGCACAGTTTCTGGGTGGACATTGACGCTCAGCCGGCTCGCGTGGCTCTGGGACTACTTACGCTGCTGGGTCTCATCACACAGGCTTCGGGCGTCTCTTCTACTCTGCCTCGCGTCTCTTATATCAAGGCTATCGATGTATGGAACATTGTCTGCATCATATTTAACGTCGGCGTCCTTATTGAATTTGCCGTGGCCTCGAATCTGGCGCGTCAGCAGAAGATGCACAGTTGGAAGACCCAAGCACGTCAAACTGTGCGGCGAGAGATTTCGACGTGGTGTCCTGCATGCAGGCGTGTATACGTAAGAAATAGCCTTCTGAGCGACAGTAGCGACTTGAAGACAAAGACTGGTGGCCCGGTCAGTGGCTGCAACCTGAATGGAGGGGATATTCTACACACCCTTTTTCCTGAACAGGTGAAGAAGGCGAAGTCGCTGTGTGCGCCTGGACAGTATACCAGGGATGAATTCCTCATCACATCGGCAGCTGACAGGCTCTGCAGGAGTCTGTTCTCAGACGAAGAGGAGGAGGAATCCGTTGGAGGGAAGTGGCTCAAGAGGAAAACAGCACAGAAGTCAGAGGAGCAAAAGGAACCCGTGATACTCATTTCGGCGATCGATGGATACAGTCGTTTTCTTTTCCCCTCCTGTTTCATGATATATAATTGCTTCTACTGGCTCTACTACCTAGTTCTCAAAAAGAAGGACTAGTTAACTCACAATGGCTCTCCTATTCTACTACAGTTCCCTTTGTTGTATCGGACTTGCATAACGATTCACTAGATGAAATATACTATCTGCATAATTTTTTACTTAAGAAAAAAACACTCATTTTTGTGCTTGTAAACAAGAACTTTCCTTCCTGGAGCGTGAAAAGTTGAACGAGTGGAAATTGGTTTTGAGGCGGGACTGATGGACGGCACGGGTGATAATCATGCAGCTGACAATACTTTTCCGACATGAGTATTCCTGAGTTACCACAAAAAGGCTGGCGCAAATAAAAGATTTTACCATTGATGATGGAGTTATTGCATCTAAATCGCGAATAACGTATTCATTTCAATTGTTCCAGGCCTCCTAGCCGTCCCCAAAATGGGCTGCACACCTCATTAGAGACCCGGTCGTTACTCGCTTTTTGCGCAAATATTTTGAAACCACAACACCATCTGATTTAACTGTGTGGGCTTTTTTAGACCTAAAGCGTCTCGAACTTTTAGATTTCTCGATAGTTACCACTTTATTAGAGCAATTGCCATTGGAAATAATGTGATCCAACGGGTCCTAGCTTTCAGACGGGAGAGGGGAGAGCTCATCTTGTAAAACGGGTCGTCCAGGCGTCAACAAGTGTGCTGGTTTACGACTGTCAGAACGACCGATTAACTAGCTTTGTTTTGACATAACAGTGTGCGTTTCTTCATGGCGAAGGCAGGGAAGGTCCCTTTTAAATGTACTATGCATACTGACACAGCGGAGCAAACAAGCAGTATGTTGTGGCGTACTCACCAATCAGCTTGTTAAAAGGAAAACGGATACGCTGAAGTATGTTTGGCCAAGCTAGCTAAGATCAACGGACTGTTCATCAGGAGCTGGCATAAACTAGATCCAGCAACCGAGAACTGACCCCGGCCAGAGGATGAAGTCGTTCAGCTATCGGATAACAGTTAATGTGAGGTGAACCGAGAAACAAATCTTCAACAGGAAATTCCTAGCGAAATATCCGGAGAGTCCTTATTGGGGGCTGCTGATATAATACGTAAATCTTCGTGCCCTGAAAATGTCTAAAACAGGGTTGTATTCAATTTGATGCAGACAGCGAATAAATGATTCTACTTACGTCGTGTTCATAGGATATGAGATACGTTTGTTTGGTTGAAAATACTACTTAAGTTAAAAGCGGAAAATGTCGTTAAACTCTCCACTTTATATCAAACCTCGTTTTGCCAGATTAATTTTTAAAAAATCAAAGATGCTGTTTCAGGCCCACATCCACTTCAAGCCGTGTTTCCCACACAAGCTGGGTCGCAGTCCGCAGAAAGAATTCGGAAAATGTGATTTTTCCAGTTTTCGAGGAAGTTTGTGCCAGCACACATTGGATACGTTCAAAACCCTAAGAATATCACGAATGTGACAGTCAGCAAAAATGCGGCGGATTGCCTCAACGCTAACTACCTGCAGGAACTGTCTGGTGTAGAAACCTCGTCTAGGTCCTTCAACGTGCATACTTGATACTTGTAGGCTTTCCCGCCTAATTACTTTTAACGATACTTCTGCGCTTGTGGAAACTTCGAGTAATAACTTTCAGGAATGTGGAAATGTCCTGCCAGATATTCTAAATATATTCCAAACATTTGGGTCGATAAAAGCATACAAATTAAAGTGAAGCACAGAAGAGGAAACGAGAAAATGAAGAAGGAACTAAATAAGGGAACAGGCTTTACTATTCCAAGATCTCCCTTCCCATCGTCCGTAAGCTCCTGCAAATTGGGGACAATCCGGAGCTTTTGAGCCGGAGGAATATGGAATAATGTGTCACGACAAACGGGTAACTGAGAACAACTACCTTGCATCAACTTGTCCTCTTGCTGGCTTTGGGATACGGCGACTACAGAACCAAGAAGACTTTTTTGCCTATACACAGAATGCTCCGAAATGCGGCAACTTCCAACAATAAGGCCTACTATCCACAGTGAAGACGATTGCAATTCGGCAGTGTATTACACTTCTCGAACATTTTGTAGACCACGTCTCTGGTTGTTGCTTTCCTGCTGGACGGTCAGATTTAATCTGGGTTTCAGCGTTACAGTCTCCGTTTCCCGAAAACTAAAGGTTTCTGCAGATTTTTAAAAAGTTCACATTTCGCGGAAATCAATATTCGCAAGTTTGAGATTTGAATTAACGGGTAGGACAGTAGATTGCTAAAATCTGCAGGGGTCTGCTGGTTGCTGCTACATTGAAGAGAAAAGATATAATTGCATTTGAAAAATAGAGTATTGTTCATATATTTGAGAACAAGTTTATGCATGTCTGGTCTTCGCGGATAAAAGATTGTGGGACGCACCCCTGTAAAACTGTGCCACAGACATTTGATGATTGTTCAGGGCTTTGGACCATAGGGGCGTGTCCCATAATTCTAGAATTTACGCACCCCAAGCAACCATTATGCAGCAAATATAGGTAAACGGCTATTGCATAGGATAAAAAGTGAAAGCCAGCAGTACGTGATTAATGAAAAAAGCGTGAGCCTTCCAAAGACCAGAAGAATGTATGCCTAGAGGTTATAGCTTTTATCAAGAGCAAGCGGGAACACGCGTATATGGAAAAAAGCGCTCTGGTGTAGAATACTATTTAACGAAGATTCCAACTGTTTTGGAAAATAACATTACTTAAGGACCAGTGGTACACCACGACAATTAAATGACTCAAAAGATGATTATTCATGGCCGCATTCTCTGAAGCAAGCATAGAGTTTGAAGTCAAGAACATAATTAAACACCAACGAATTAAATTAAACGCTAGGCATCGTGGGTTCAAAAAGACATTAAGTACGGAAGCGAACTTCATTTCCTTGCATCCCGGGCTTAGATAATGTCCAGATAGTTGAAGGATTTTTAAAAATTCATTTGAAACCTAACTTTTCACCGCCCGCATTTACCTTATTATATTTTTTCATTTACCATATCCTCTAATGCAGCAAAAGTTCGATCAGTTTTTGCTGAATTCTTTGCTTCTCCAATTTTTTCAGGGGACGTGTACGACGGATAGCGCGAGTCCAATACTTTTGTGGAAAGGGATTCGTTGTTTTTGGAATAATTTTGACATCTGCTACGAAAACAGGCAAGGAGCAAGGACATGGATTCGCAGATTTTGGGGTTCGTAGCAGAGGTCATCGTCTGCCTGAGTGGGATGTGGCCAGTGACAAGAAGTCATCTCCTGAACCTCTTTACCCTGTTATCCATATTTGCTAACAGTACAATCTATGATGGAGAAATGAATCCGCAAATGAAAAATGCGCAAATGAGTCTCGCACGCAAGCTTTAGATGAAACTGCTGAAAATCTAGTGTTGAAAGGCACCGCCTTGATTGCCCTGTTAATCATTGAGTATTAGGAGCATATAGGGCGA